TCATTAAATTTATTAATTGCTTCAGGTAACTTTAGTTTTTAACAAAATAAGATCAAGTAATAAAATATTTACCGCATTTAACTTTTTAATAAGCAACGGACATCATTTTTCTTAACAGTTTGTCTTTTAATAGCAATTTATTGAAAAGAATATAAAATATAAAAATTATGCCTCGAATGTAAAACTAAGCGGGCTTAGAAATTTTGACGAATCGTTCTCTTGGCGTGCCTGCGTGATAGATAGCATACGACGCCGGAGGGTCCGCGAATTTGATTAAATTAAAGTAGTATTTTACAAAAATATTGATATAAAACGGTCTCTATAACATTATTAAATGTTCGGAATCAGTAGTGCGTCTTATCAAAAGTAAAAATAAAACGAAAAAGTCGCTATAATATAGTTGTGAATTTTTCGAAGCCTGAGCCGCAATGGATTATGGGTAAGGTTATGTTGACAGAACTTACGATTAGACATACGAGTATAAAGTTATAAAATTCTCTTTTCGAAATTTAATCGTGTAGATATGCAGTGCAATAATATAAATAACAGAGATTAAAATATATATACTATCTGTTACCTATTATGTAAGTAAAAAATCATTGAACTAAAATAATCTTATTAAAGGACAATAATGCACTGGTATCGCTACTGTTATGAAGTTATGGATATTGTATATTTTCTACATTTACTACACTTTCGGAATAGTTAAATTAAAAACTGCTGTCACGTAGAATTTTGAATGAGAAAATTAGATAAATTAAAAATTTAATAATATCTCAATATAGTGCAATTGCCAACATCCGGCGTAGGTACTAGTATATACCGCCAATTGTTTATATTAACTGTTTAATAAAACTTTTATTAATAAATTACACTATGATAACCTTAACACATACATCCTCATAACCCTTTAAAGGTTATTGTTTATTAGCCAGTAATTCTTTTCGGAATTTTCAATTTGAGTAGAAATGATTTATGCAATTAACATTAGCTGAGATTATTATAATTCTACAAATGGGCCACACAAAACGAATCAGACTGATATAAATTTTGAAACGTACAATTACGTATTGTTAATTAAAATTAAAATTGATCAAAGTCAATTACGTATTACAATACTTAAATTCATTAAACTTGATGCTTTTGGATTTTAGTTCAGATAATTATGAGAACATTGATGCTTATTTAGAAACAAAGATTTTGAGTACATAGATAGTAAGATAGTATTATTTCAAACAGACATAAAATTAACTACTTAATATATGTAACAACCAGCAGTCTTTATTTATCACAATTTCCTTTAATATTGGTCATAAATATGGAGTTTTGGCTTGCTTTCAGCAGCTTCATATACCCATGGTGTCTTTTCTTTCGAGTATTTTATTTTTAAAAGTATGTGGCGTACGTACGTACGTACGTACATAAAAACAGCTCGTGCAAAAATAAATTTTATTTTAGAATAGTGCGATCTGGCTTTAAAAAATCCGATAAAATAAAACGCAATTATTCTGTTTCTTGTTAAAACAATAGATTCATGAAGAAAGTGCTTAGTTAAAATGAAAAAATATAAATAGGTTAAGTTAAAGAATTACTTAAAAAGTAAAAAGAGCATAGCAATAATGTTTTCCGAGATACGGAGCATTACACTTATCGTTAAGAAAGAGTTCGTGAATATGAAACATAATCAAAATTAACAAAAATATTGTGACTGGTATCAGGCTTTCGAAATACACTTTAATTATAATTCATTGGTGACTTGGCAATATTTACGCACGAAAATGATCATTTATTATGGTTGTTACTTAACTCAAGTTTAATATTTACACTTTTCTTTTTTAAATGTTGACAAACAGAAACCAATGAACTGTAAACCAGGAATGAATCATAGTAAAAACCAATAATTTAATTTATCTATTTATTTGGCTTGAATAAAACTGCAACTGTTAGATCATGCTGTAATAAAAGTTTATTTTGATTACCTTCCAATTCTCTGATTAAATTAAAAAAAATATGCAGCTTGATCATTTTTAAATAAATAGAGCAAAGCAGTATGAAGAATTAAAAAATATAGATATGTATTTACCTCGTTATCCTCCACCAAAGTTGCTACTCGACCAGGCTGAAAGAAAATCCAATATGATATTTATTGAAAATAACAGTCAAAATTAAAAAACGAATAATACAAAATAACGCTTGGTAATGTTTCATTCTATTATCTGGCATTTTAACATTATTAACAAAGACTACAACAAGTACAGTCTTTGATAAATTTAAACAAAATTTTGTGAAACTTTATAAAGTGTTACTTTTATTATTCGTTTATCTAAAAAACGTTTCACCAGGTACCTGCAAAACATCCTTATCGATTAAATAATAGATAATTTACTTTTTGAATCAGTCTGGCATGTACAGCAGATGTTTAAAAATAGTATAGCTAATCGTAAGTGTATAGAACTATTTGATTCACGTTTCAGGAAGTATAATTTTGTTACGGTAATTGGCTTAAAATTAGCCACTATAAACTCGGTTGTATGCAAAGCACGTTTTAAGTCAAAATTCGATACAGCAATATGTTTAAAGAAAGTTGCGCAAATAAGGTGTTTAAAGGTAGACACACGTGTGTGTAAAATGTAAAACAATAAGTTATATTTTAAATTAATTACAATTAAAAGTTGCCTAGCGTAAACCATAAAAGGTTGATATTAATTAGCTGTGTATGTTTTACAATTTAGTTACAAAAAAATAATAATAGGAATTCCTTTTTTTTTTCCTAAAAACCAAAGACATTTGTGAGAGAATAATAAAATCACGTTTTCTCATTTGTGAGAGGATAATAATAGGTATTCGAAATTTAACACCAAGGGAAACTGTTGTGTGCAAACCTCAATGGTAACAGTATATCTACCTCTTATAAAGTATTAAGTTTAAAAACGGTTAAATACAAAAAAAAAAAATACAGAGTTACTATTGATATCAACTTTGAATGTATTTTTCAAAACAAATAATCAGGTTTATCTATTTAATCGTAATTATAAACCCCTTAGAAAACAAATAACATTTTTGCATAAATATTTTCGATTGAAAAATATTTACCTATCTTGTTTACTGAATGCTTAAGTAAAAGCTCTAATTTTCAAAGAAAATTTAATGAACAATATAATGACGCGACTAATTTGAAGCGCAAAGAAAGTAACAAAGAAATGGGTTTACGACGAATAACTGTTTCAAAGTCATTGACATTAACTATTTTTAACAATGTAAAATTAGGACAAACGTGATAAAAAGTTTTTACAAACCGACCTGCTGTTCGGTGCCTCGATGAGTGCTGTTTCCCTGCCAAAATCTTCTAGAAAACCCCCTTATGCAGCCGGCAACAGCTTTGTCGAATGTGAAGCCAGGGTTCCAGCAAAGGGACCCGTACCCAAAAACCCATAAAAACTTGGTGTCTTCGACTTCGATGGATTCTTGTAAAGGGACCACCAACCCCCTAGACGAAGAACCAGCCAAGTTACTCATGTTTTTCTGGCTGATGCAATACCGCACCGTTTCAGGCGAGAACTCACATTCGCGATACTTTTCGAGTTTTGAACGTAGTGCGCTTGATTCCGTGGAAGTCAACGACGCCGGGTGGTGGCATTACCCACATTGTGGCCGACAGCACCAAGTTCTCGCACTGAGCATACGCAGTTCGCGTGTTTCTCATTCGAATTTGGCAGTCAATTTTATTATACAATTCGTATTTGACTTCGCAAATCCAGACAAATTAACATGATAAGTTGTCTAAAGCTTTGAAAATGGGAACACGGCTGTTGTCACTCATTGACGAGTGATAAAAGGGAAATAAAACTCTTGACGTACTTGATAATAAAAAATGTTTGTGAGAATAATGAGCACAAGTATGTAATCATTGGAATGATTGAACGTTGAAGTTGAGTTATCATTGGGCTTAAGCCAACATTGATTGCAGATTAAATAAAAAAACATGTATATACATATATAGGTGGGCACTTTTGCATCTACTATGACCTTGGTCAATAAATAATTTTTGAAAAATACTGCGACATCATCCTTGTCATTTAACTGTGAATACAGAACAAAATGATACTTTTATTTAAATTAATATAAAACACAATGATGTATTAAGCGTTTTCTGTTGTGTTTTATTATATATATGAACCTATACCTACACAACATAGTTTTAAAGTATAGTTTTTGTGCTATGTATAAACTTTTATAAACATTATTTTGTTTTATAATTCAATCTGTTGCATTATATATTTTTATTTTGTTTCAGTGTTCATCAATAAGTATATAAGTTTGCCATTTTGATGGGTAGTCCGCAGTCGGCATCTAATGTAAGTCCTTTATATTTATTTAATTCGTATTATGCTATTATCCTTTTGTTTACAAAATGCCATGTGACTATTTTGTAGCATTTATTAACGGATACGCTTATATGCGTTACCTTAATTACTTTTTCAAATTTTATATATTTACGTACATGAGCGACATCTTTTAGAAAGAGTTATGACTTCAGTATGAATTACATACATATGCTGTCTTCTTTATAGAAATTTTAATTTGTAGGAGTTTTCTTTTGATATAAAACCCAATAGATGGCTCTTGTTGTACGTTTTCGTAACACAAAAGTTTCATTTTTAAACGTACTTGTATGTACAATTTATTTAAAGTTTCGAAAGTTACGAAGTTTTTATTTTAACTAAATTAAAATTTAATATAAAAACAAGGAAAATAATGCTCATATATTGGAGAGGTAACAGTGAAAAAATTATAAGTTTGTAGGAAAAAGATTTGTGAAAATGCTTTTTAACAATTAATAGGATTATCAAAAAAGTTTACAAATCCTATAATCAGTTAGGGAAGGTAAACCGTATGTAGAAATAATGGTAGTAAATTATAAGTTTATTTAAAAATCCCGACATGAATTAGTAGGGATTATGCTAAAATTATTGAAAATCTTGAGGGCATGTGGGAAGCAGGTAAATTTCCGGAGAGTGATTTCCGAAATACGAAGGTTGTACGGTGGACACCTGTTGCCAGCTCTGTTTGGGAGAGTTTTTTAATGTAATATCCTCCACCACATGGTTTATTGTGTTTTTCCTTCCTCAATTCTTTTACAATCACACACACACAGGCGTCTAAATAACAACCCTCGATACCTGCCTACCATTCATACAGAATCACCCTTTTAACATGTTGACAAAATAAAACTCTTTTTATATAATGTAAGAACATTCGCTGAGTCAGTAGAGACTTTTTTAAGATTTGATAAAAAAAGTAGTCAAAATACTTCCGGGCTAAATAATTTGATACCCATCTAATATGCATATGATCATCATAAGGTCGTCAGTCCTAAGACTGGTTGACCACGCACCTGCACTCTTTCCTATCCTGAGCTAAGCTTCGCGTTTCCCTAAAACTAGAATATACCACATCCTTAACTATTCGGTTATGTTACCATAAATGCCCGAAGCGCACTGGTTTGTGTAAACAACCACCAAATTAATTGGGAATGTCGGTTATTATTCTTTTAATAACGATTTCGGTCATACACCGGTTAAAATGATCATACACCACGGCGACTTGGTTAATCTCCATTATGACCTAAATTACGACTATTCGTAATTCGACTTGCGTTACTTGGTGCTTTATTATGGTGTACAATTACAAATATCCTTATCGCCTTATATTCAATATCTGTAAGGCGGCTTTTCCCAACAATAATTCGCATAATTTGTTAATCGTTGTATCTAAGATTTACAGAATAGCGTTGATGTGTAACAGAATTCATTCAAAAAGTTTAATTATATAATTTCGGACTTGCACCAACAAAATTGGTGAATGTCGGCATGCACAGGTGCATCCTAACATTCACTAATGACGGACATTCTCAGTAATAACATATACCTACACAGAAAAATGACAGTATGCTAAATCGTTACCTAATAATGAAGTAAGAAAAATGATTCCTGATGATTAATTCAATGTTCTTTTGAAATATTGCGAACCTTCTATTAGTAGACATTAATAGTGATTCAATGTCATACATTTCGTGCTATTACCGTGTAAGTGGCTATGATATGTAAATTGTAGTAATGTTTCTGTTCAAATGTACTTAATCGTTGTTGTATACTTGTAGGAATATCGTTGTTTACTGGTTTCAAAGGATACGTAACGTAATATAATGTAATCTTCTCTTCCATTTTTTTATATAATTGGTATCCTTGACATTTAAATATGAATCTTTAAACATACACAGTATCTACGGTTCCGGTTTAGTATGTATAAGCTGGAGGCTTCCGGGCTGAAAAATTACTAGGAAGAGTTTTGTTTATTAAGATTTACGTTTTATGCACAAGGTACAGTTACAATAAATACTGTAAGTTGCCACATGCTTGCTTCTCCTACGACTATCAAATATGGCTTTGAAAGTTGCTATAAAATTAGTACACGCATTCATACACATGCCGATTTCTGTTTGTACCTATACATACATATATATATATATATATATATGAGTTGTGATCAGGCGATGGAACTCTCACGAAGCAAAAACGCACAGAAATTCAATTATGTGAAACGGGGATGAAACTAGCCACGCGATTGGTTAAATTACGAAACATTTGCCGCGAACCGTCGCAGAAATCTAATTTGATGCTTCTGATTGAATTTGCCTACGTCATCAGTGCTTCGTGCAGTAGCTACCGCAATTTTGCGACAGGCCTGAGACGCGTTTGGTACATTATAACATTATAAGTTCATAAAGTTTGGAGGTGGAAGAACGTGTTTTCGCGTTTCTTAAATTCAACTTATCGAGCTATTTTTTTCGCAAAATTAGTTCTAATTTGTTCTACGTCTGAAAGGTTAGTTTGATTGATTCATATTCTATTATTATTCTTCGTATTTGCTCACAGCATAAATTAAATTGACAAAATTTTTAAAGGTTATATCTTGAAACAGACATCAGGTGGC